CAGTACTTTTAGTAATCTTTAAATCTAATTCTGATATATGTATATATATATATATATATATATATATATATGTATGTATGTATGTATTTTACATGGGTTTTTTCTGTTTTGGTGCTGTCTACTTCCAGTGGAGTTTTAAAAAAAGTATATATATATATAAATGGTCACTATAATTACAAGAAATCTATTTTAGATAAATTTTGCCATTTTAAGTTAGTATTATGTTTCATGATGTATAATCCAGTTGTCGCACTTCACCTTCGTGTCAAGAAGAGAGATAGAAGAGAGTGATTGGGCCAAGGTGGTGTTTTATAAATAGAGAGTGAGCGTGGGTTGCGGGGCTGGGTCCTATGACGTTTCTGCAGGGATATTGTGCCGCTCCCTTCTTTACTTCCTGTGGGGAACAATTTAGGGCTTGTCTTAACAGAGCTCTGCATAGTGAAGCCCGTTCTATCTCTCTCTCTGATTCCCTCCTCCTCTTGTAGTTCTTCACTTTCACCGTATGTAGCTCATCACTTCCTTTTACTAATTTGACCGATTCTTCATCTGACACAAAGGTAGAGATTCTCGCATCACCACTCGCAGGCTTTACATTTGGAAAGTTTTGGTTACAATTCCAGATCTTTATCCACTAAGTCAGTGATTTGCAAAAAGACCACAAATTACCATGATCCCCTTGCAAGGGAACTCCTTCCTAAAACAAAAGACGGCTATATTTTTTCAAAGACCCATTTATATTGTGTGATTATAAAAATTGTGTGATTTTTATAAAGACAAAATGTTGTTTTCACAATGATAAACTGGCGTTTATATTGTCCTTTTACAAAAATCTAAACTCAGACTTTAGGAAGCAAAGTGAAAACATTATAATATTAAAAGGGTGTTTAATTTGGCTTTTACAAAACTACATTATAAAACTATTGATTTGCTTTCATAATATCTGTTCTTGTTTTCATGAATCATTAGTGCACGTCTTACTAAAAAAGGTTTAATAAGCATGACTCATTTATTCAGCCTTCAGTTTTTCTGAAATCTCTGTATAAAAAGCCCCTACATTATATCCTGTATGTTGTTTCATTAAATACAAATGCTGCTGTTGCATTCAAGTGTTGATGTATTGTTTATTGTTCGTTTATTATTTATAATATTTATTTTCAGATTTAGAAGTAGGTTTCACACCAAGAGTGATAAATATTAAGAAAACAATAATAACGCACCACAATATCGTTCTGTTTATTCTAAGCGAACGCTGCATTTAAGTGCTGCCATCGTCTGACGCTTTAAGTGCTTGAGCTCTTTAAAGCAGGATGGATTCTGATTGGCTGAAATTGATTCTAACGATGTAGTTTCTCTGTGCCGTTATCGTTATGATTTGTAGAACTATGGGCCTCATCTGGCACCCAGCGCAATTTACTTTGTACACCAACGCATGTATCATTCGTATTTTGCCGATTATTTATTTATTTATTTATATTTTTGCAGAGACATGCCGGCCAACTAGGGCGTTCCCTGGGCGGTTCGGCGCAAAAAAGGAGGCGTGTTTTGGGGCAAACATTCCCTATCGCTATTTTGCAGTTTCAGAAAACAATTGCGCCACTGACCAGAAAAACTAGTCTAAAGTCAGTGTTGCGTTGCGCGTACATTCAGATGCTATTTTAAGCACGCATCCTTGGCCATAATACAGAGTGTGAACAACGCGCATACACTTGATGATTCTCTCATCTACACAGATGCATTTTACTTTTTGCAAATGATACATTATTATAAGGAAAAATATTAAAACATGAGGGAAATCATTGTTGTGTCCATGACGATGGCAAAATAGGCATAAAGTTTACACATTTACCCAAATTATTATATGCATATTTAAACGAAGCTAATTTGGCTGGGTTTGTCCCGTCCCCAATGTCACTTCTCTTTCTTTTACGGCCCTGACGACAACATCGACCTCCTCGACTGTGAATCGGTAAATGTGCCGTTATAATAGTATTGCACCATGGAACAAGCGCACCTCGTTCATCACGCTCTTAAAGGGAATGTGATATGACGCTCTTATTGGTTTGTTTCCCGTTACGCCCAAACCACACCTATGAATAATGAAGCTACTTCAGACCAACCCCTTTTAGATTTGCGTCGAGCGCAAGAGTCATTTATCCAGCTGGTTAAATGGCAACAGCGCCGAGATCCGCCCACAAAGTTACTTGCGCTTGACACTAGGGCTGCACGATATTGGTAAAAAATGGCATTGCGATATTTTATATTTCCGCGATATATATTGCGATATTACAACACTTTGCCCAGATGACTTGAATAGCTCTATTTGGAAAGAATTAATCATTCTAGAATGACTGGGGTGGTTTTGTCATGGAGTAAATCAGCATAGAAACTAATATTAATAGAATGTTTACTAATGTTGTTAACAGGTTATGTTAAAGGGTTAGTTCACCCAAAAATGAAAATTCTGTCAGTATTTACTCGCCCTCATGTTGTTCCAACCCCGTAAGACCTTCGTTCATCTTCGGAACACAAATTAAGATATTTAAGATATTAAGATCGCTCCTGCATACAGTCCATAGGCTTCTTCAGGGAATGACTCTCGCTGGCATCGAAAAGTCATTAAAGACATCGTTAAAATAGTCCAAGTGACTACAGGGGCTCAATCTTAAGTTTATCAAACGACGAGAATACTTTTGTGCGCAAAAAAACAACAAAAATAACGACTTTATTTCAACTATTGGTTTATTTCTCCCTCTGCGCGAGTCAGGTTACTAGTTTAATAGCGTAAGCTTCTGTTATTGTACGTCACACGCATCACACACACATGACCAGCGTCGGCCAATAGTGAGCCTACGTGTGACGTAGCTCTACGCAATCACACTACGTTAACTGACTTACAGGCTCATGGAGAAGGAAGTGAATAGTTGAAATAAAGTCGTTATTTTTGTTGTTTTTTTGCGCACAATCTACTAGTTGGGTCATCTATAGTGTAGCATTTCTGTGACCATGGAGAGCAAAGGTTCGTTTCTCACTGGATTTGTCATCTATGAAGATTAAAGAAAAAATTTAGCTGGGGTGCCCCTCACAAAAATGTGGGGAAATTTCATGAAAACCCTATATCCAAAATGGCTGCTTTCAGCCAAGCTGGGAATTTACTTTTTAATGGTTTTGCCCACAGTGCTGCATAATACATGGTTTCTGAGACTATTTGGGTCAAGAAATTCATAAATCATGCAGATTCATTGATTTTTACCTATTTTTGACCTTCAAATTCAAGATGGCCACCAATTTTTGGCTCTTTAAGGTGAGACACTACAGGTGAATAGGGTAAAAATTTTAACTTGCAGATATCACCATGAAACTTTACCCGTTGATTACTCATGAATAGGAGAAAAAAATGTATTGCAAGTGTTCTGTAATTTTATGTTTAAACATTCTAATTAGACTATACCTAATTACATATGCACTAATACAGCTGTGCGAGGCGCTGGCGTGATCGCTCATATCAGATAAGAGTAAGGCATCATTAAAAATGGTAAACGGTCTGTATATTTGTGTACCTTCAAAATAACAGCAAAACGTCGTACTTTTGTAAAATAAAGAAAACTAATAAAACGTGCTTGCCGTTTCGGTCTCCGTGAACGAAAATGTAGCAAAACACAGCAGAGATTACTGCCTACTTGTCGCACAGAGAAAAACAACATAGAAACCTTGAAGTGTCTACTGTTAATTGTCTATGTTTTGCTTATATGACATCACATTATATTATAAGTCATTTTGGAATATATAAACCCTAGCACGTTTCACATGATAAAAAAAACGCGACTTGAAGCCTGGAAATATGGCTTGAAGCCTGCAAATTATTTTGAGGACCGTCTGGCAATGGGTCACTGAAAGTTGATAATCCCGCAAATGACTGCAATTGCTGATTGCAAACAGAGATGGCGACAAAGAGGAAAAAATGTGGACTGCAGCTTTAACAAACCCTGGCCTAGAAAATTCTTATTTATATTATATAAGGCTGGTTGCTCCCTTATAGTGGCTGCCATGTTGAGACCAAGCGTGCCGCACAAGCCCTCAGAAGTGAAGCCAAAACGTCTCGATCGCCCCCCAGTGACCAGTCCTGGTATAGGTCATAAACCCTGCCTGCCCATGTTATTCAGCGGGACGTGAGACCAACTAAACAATTAAATTACACTTCACATATCCTTTTTCCAAAGACAGTTTGTGTCATTTACTGTAGTTTTTATCACGTTGATGTATGTTCAAGTGTTTGTTTTTAAAATAAGGGTTTAGTTAGTTATTTGATGCTATAAAAACGGTGGTGTGACATCATGATTGACAGGTTCTTTGTTGCGAAGTACTCACTGAAGCACCAGCAGACTTTTTTATGTTGACTATGTGGTTTGTAGTTGTATTGACCTTATTTTAACAAGGTACTGCAATCAGCAGACATCATTGGAGGGGAACGGAGCAGACAGAGGCCACATATGAAAAGTTTAGCGGCGTGTGATTGCGATTGATTCAGCGAGAGTGAGGGCGGGGCCTTGAGCAACCAAGTTAATAAACGCAAACCATGCCTAAAACTAAATGTTGATGTTATTTTCGATACGTCAGCCTGTTGTAATAAAAATGCCATGGCTCCTCCAGTGGGGGAAGCAGAGAGGTTGTCATATTGTAAAACTAAATTTACATTTTTAAAATTATGAAGTGAAATGCGAAGTTGATCGTTTGGGGACATTTCTCTAGACGTTGACAGCTATAATTGTTCTCGTCTTTGAAACGAGGCATTTGGCGTAATGCAAACTTTTCAAATATCAGTGTAAATCTTTTCTAACTGAATTGAATGTGACAATCTGCAAATGGTTTTATGTGCGATTTACATCAATGTATTCTGTTTGTAGCTTTTTGTTGACTTTTGTAATTCATCTTAATGATTTGTCTAGTATTGTTTGTCCGTTATGTGAAGATTTCCTCTTCTGTCTGTGTGTGTGTGTGCTCAGGTACAGCAGTGTGTTTCCCAGTCTGAACATGGCAGTAAAACGCAGGGAACAGGCTCTTCAAGATTATAAGAGACTCCAGTCTAAAGTGGAGAAGTATGAAGAAAAAGAGAAGACGGGGCCCATCATGGTCAAACTCCATCAGGTACAACCCAACTTCCTTTCTGACAGCGTTGCAATTTCAGGCGTTCATTCTTCAATGAGTGACTGATCTCCTAATAATACCAAAAATCCTTTAATGTGAGTTCACTCAGCGGTCATCTTGGGAACGCCCCAGGTTGCTGTTTTCTATGTAGATATAGCAAACAGCTCCTGTCCGTTTGAATGGGGAGAGATAAAACTCTCCAAAACTGATTGTCAAGATCAAATCAGGTGTGAAATCTGAGGTAACACTTTATTTGAAGGGGTGTGCATAACATAACGAAGACTGTCATAACACTGTCATAAACGTGACATAACACCTGTCATGAACATGAAGGAGTCTTTATGAATGTTTCTGACTTTTGTGTCATTCGGTAAATTATGACACTTTTAATGCAAAGTTGACATTGTTTAACCCTCTGATGGTCTTCCTTTATGAGTCACGTCCTGGGCCTTCTCGGTCAGAAGTGACCGGAGGCCTAAAAATGAAACTTCTTCCATTCCAGTAAAACCAATGCAATTTATTTTTGTTCTATAATATTTATTCTTTTTAATTTAGTATTTTGAGACAATTTGATTGAATTTATTATTATTTATGCAATATTTATGGTCTATTTTTTCAATGGAAGTGTATATATATATATATATATTTATATATTATTTAAAAAAAATAATTATTAATGCAGTATTTTAGTTTAATATAGAGTCTAGGCCTTCAGAAATTTTTTTTTAAAGAAAATTAGCACCATCTGGTTACAGTATAGAGAAAAAGCATAAAATCATGGTGTAACCAATAGTACAGCTCTCTATGGAGAAGCATGTGAATTCTCCAGCTGTTTATGAACACTTTTTTTTTTTTTTGGTGGATTTGAATATATAATTGAAACAATCTCAAAAACTATTTCTTATTAAAAAATTGTTAAAAAAATAAATAAAGAAATTTTTGTGTTTTTGTCAATTTCCCATTCATTTCCTATGGGGATCATTTTTGACCAAAGACCAAAATCGTGACTAATTTTTTACGACCACTTAGCATGCTCGGATCATGAACTCATTTTTTTTTTGTAGTCTGAATTTATCGCTGTGTATGTGTATAAAAGTGTGTTTGTGTGTGTGTGTGTGTGTGTGGGTGGGTGTAAATTTTTTGCACTCTTGATGTTGTAGAGTGTCACCCCTTTACTGCGGTATACTTCTTTTAATAATTGTGGTCGATTTGTAGATTGTACAAACAAAAATTCATTTTTTTTTAAATTTCCCATTCATTTCCTATGGGTCGGTCATTTCTAACCGAAGACCACGAGTGTGACTATTTTTTTTTTTACCACTTAGCATGCTTGGATCATGACCTCAATTTTTTTTTGTATTCACATACCAAATGCCAAAAAAGTCACCAAGTATCATAACCTTCCGATGAAGCTGTGATTTTTAATAATTCAAAACAGAAAATTATTCGGTCAGAAGTGACCGATGACCATCAGAGGGTTAAAATGTCTTTGTTATGACAACTTGACATTAACCAAGAAATCATAACTAGTCCAACGTGTTCCACTTTACTTGAGGTAAGGGGAAATATTAATGACACTGTTGTTAAAGCATTTGACTGTGTAATAACCCTTAATGACATCTTTATAACTAGTTCAATGTGTTCCACTTTACTTGAGGACAAGTAAAATATTCATGTCACAGTTATAATGGTGTCATGACAACCAAAGTTAAAACCAACCATAACATATGATAGGGTAATGTAATGTTAACACAAAGCTAAATAACTTCTTTAAGTTTGATAATTAGACCTGTTATGACATATTTGTGACAGGTTGATAGGTTATGATTTCTTGGTTAATGTCAAGTTGTCATAACAAAGACATTTCTGTCCTTGTTAAAGTCAAGGTGTCATGACAAAGACATTTTAAACAATGTCAACTTTGCATTAAAAGTGTCATAATTTACCAAATGACGACAGTCATAAACATTCATAAAGACTCCTTCATGTTCATGACAGGTGTTATGTCATGGTTATGACAGTCTCATGTCAGTCCCTTCAAATAAAGTGTTACCAAATCGGATCGCAATGGTACCATCATTTTGTTTTTTGTTTCTCAAATTTGTAACACTTTATTTTAACGTGTTCAGTAGCACGTGATATGTATTTACTATAGTCATTTCAGCAAATTGTGCGTAATTAGGGCTGAGTTGAAAATCTAGATTTTAATCGATTCTTATTTTGATGAACTGATATCGATTCTTTAACCCTATTTTGGATCGCGGATCGCTGTTCAAGCGGTTCACATTGCTTTACTACTAGTTACTGCATGAAATAATCATGAATGAACATCAGAAGGTATGTTGAAAGATACAGTACAACATACCAAAGTGTATCCCATCTCATGTAATCACTCAGGGTTTCAACCGCAGAAAGACAAAAACAGCTTTTACATATCACATTTACTTCATGAAAGCCGTTCGATGAACCTAAACTCGATAGTTAGCTAGAAAAATTAACTGTAGAGAGGAGCATTTTGCGAATTATTTAAATGTATTACATTATCTTTTACCTGTTATCAAATTAAATCAGTGTCATTAACAAGCCCAATTACAAGCAACTACTACTAAACCAAACACTAAGCTTGTAGTATGTACATGTTGTAAATTAAAATCAGTGCTTATTTGTTTAATTAATTAGACTGTAACAAAGACGCATTAAATCAAATTTGATCTGCAAATCATATTGCAAATTTGTGTTTTTCAGATTTATCCAGCTATGCACGTTCAGGAGGAAATAAGCTTTGTGTAAAAGATACTTTTATGCAACACTTTTAACACTTTAAGTCTCAATGCAACTTACATGTCAACAGTCAGTCAGTCATTAGAGTATTATTAGACTGTCTGCTATCTGCTAACACTTTGTTTGGATGCTCTGTTCTACTGACTAGAAGTAACTTTTCAACTACATATCAACTTCAGCTAACTCTCATTAAAGTTAATTATAGTTAGCAGAATGACTAATGTTATATAAATGAAGTGTAACTGACGATTGGATCTTTTAACTCAAAACTGGGGCGTCCTTCTTTCCACTATGAGTGTTTCATATATGACCATGCAGTTAATTTCACATTATATTCTACCTTAATAGGCCCGAGACACTTGCTTCTTTTCACAAGGGTTATTCTGATGGCTTGTGTATGGATAAATTGCTCATCTTAAGGCTTGTTAGCTCTGAGTGTGAATTTACAGCACAGATGTTCATTGAGACAAGATTTTAAAATGAAACTCTGCTGCTTATGACACACTTAAAATTCAAAGTGCAATACATGTATTATTTTTGGAGCGGTGGTCCATAGGTACAAGAAGCTATAGATTTTAAAGTCATGTTCACCACAAACATGTAGCGATGGCAAATAATTGTTGAGAATAGTATGCCATTATTATTGTCATTATACAGTAATATATAGTTTAAGTAATCGATTGTATTTAGTATTTAAGTACATAAATGACCAGAGAGCACTTAATCTTAGAATTTGTATTTTATTTTTTAATTGGACATTTTAAACTCGTTTTACTTCTGTGGCATGTGAATGTGGTCACACTTTAATTTATGGTCCAATTTTCAGCATTAAAGTCCCTGTGAAATCAAAATTGAACCTATTTACTTTGTTAGCGCATATTACTAGTCTTGTGGTGAACAATTAATCCGTGCAAGTGAATATGTATTAAAAAAATGTTTTACCTTAGTAATCTTTAATCAAAATCTGAAAAGTTACTTCCGGTCTGGAACGGTTTCTTTTTCTGATGACGTTGATGTGGTGAACGCTTAACCACTCCCCTCAAACCGTTAGTTTGCTATGAACGAGAGATGGAGAGGAGGAGCGCTAGAGTAAAACCCTGCCCTCTGTTCAATATTCCGTTTCACTTGGAAATACGTCACAGCACTGGAGAAAAATCGTTCCGGTTCACGGGGACTTTAAGCTATTAGCTTATTAACATGCATATTGCTAGGATATTGGATGTTTATTAGTACATATAAAGCACATATTAATACCCTATTCTGCATGATCATATTCTACATCCCTTAAAGGAGTAGTTCACTTTTTTTTTTTTTAAACTTTAGCTGATAATTTACTCACCCCCATGTCATCCAAGATGTCCACGTCTTTCTTTCTTCAGTCGAAAAGTAATTAAGGTTTTTGATGAAAACATTCCAGGATTTTCTCCATATAATGGACTTTACTGGGAACCAAATGGTTCAAGGTCCAAAAGAAATTTTCAGTGCAAACTGCAAACTGTTCAAAGGGCTTTAAACGATTCGAGACGATGAATAAGGGTCTTGTCTAGGACTCTTCGAGTCATGACTCGGAAAAAAGATTTGTTCATTTTGATGAGTGAGCTGAAACGGGAGAGTCAGGAACATGCGTCACAGAACAGAGCAAGGCGAGCATTTGTGCTTATAAAACTTAAACTTTTTTATTTATTTTTAATATAAATGTCGTTTAAAGCCCTTTGAAGCTGCACTGAAACTCTCATTTGGACCTTGAACCGTTTGGTTCCCATTGAAGTCCATTATATGGAGAAAATCCTGGAATGTTTTCATCAAAAACATTAATTTCTTTTTGACTGAAGAAAGACGTGGACATCTTGGATGACATGGGGGTGAGTAAATTATCAGCAAAAGTTTTTTTTAAAAGTGAACTACTCCTTTAATAAACCAATACCTAAACTTAACCAATCCTTTAATAACTATTAATAAGCAGTAATTAGGAGTTTACGGAGGCAAAAGTCATAGTTAATCGTGAGAATTGGACCCTAAACTAAAATGTGACCGTGAACGGGGTAACACACAAAGATCATCAGATTTACAAAAATCATAATGAGTTTTGATCTGGTCTTTATAGATATTCCTGTAGTGGATGCGGGACCTTGAGCCATGGGATTTATTATAATCCGTCCACTCTCGTACTCTTCTGGCGGGATTTTGTTCAGCACGCAGCAACAAGTGAAGGAAGCAGGGCTGGATGGTGCAGAAGTATTCAGAGCACATGTATACATGCGAGCGAACTCACCCACGCAAGAGAAACAGCCTCTCAACTCAGCTGCACTTTTTCAAGAGGCTGCGCTCAACACACGCTGCGGGATAATTGGGTTTCGCACACACACACACACACATTCGCACACGGTAACACGATCCACTGAACACAGGCAAGCAATAATTGTTTGTTCTTTTTGTTGCACTCTTCTGGGTCATTGTGCATGTGTATGTTGACATGTGAAGGACTGTATGTGCACAAACAGATGCAGACGGGTGCCTGGAAAACTTCAACATACATGTACATCCCATCGCCCACACACACACACACACACACTGAAGGACTTCAGCAGGGCCGTAGAGGATAGACGCACTCATAAAGTGCATACATTTACACAGCTCATGTATCATATATAGAAAGAAGGTCACGTCCTAGCAAAGATCAGCACTTATAGGCCGCTTTCCCCTCCCTTCCACTGTGCTGATTGGTGATCGCATCGTGAATATCACTCTTCCCCACCTCCACACCCTTGAACGCTTGTGTGTGTGTGTGTATTTGTTGTTCTAATGACACGCATGCTTGAATAATTGGGAAGTCCTGGTTTTATTCATTGCTGCATTATGTGTGTGTGTGTGTGTTCTGCTTTTAGGCCAGGGAAGAACTGAAGCCTGTCAGGGAAGACTTTGAAGCCAAGAACAAGCAGCTATTGGACGAGATGCCCAAGTTCTACAACAGCCGCATCGACTACTTTCAGCCCAGCTTCGAGGCTCTGATCCGAGCTCAGGTGAGCCTTGAATGTTCCCCGCTCAGTCACAAACAAAGATGAACCTCCAACTATCAGTTAACGCATCATAGAAAACATGATTTTCTTTGTACATGCTCTAATATTCACAACTCATCCTCCCATCCGCACTTCCCTCCGCTCCTTCTCATCGTTTCCCTTCTGAAATGCAAAAATATATGCTCAAATGTATGGTCAATAAATGAATTTTCGAAGACTTGCAGGCATAGTAGCAAAATCAACCAGCAAGGATGGGAAATAATTACTTTAAACTAAGTTATTATGTGATTAACCATTATAATTGGACTTAAAATTGAAAGTTAACATGCTACAAAAGCAGGTTGTGACTGGTAATTCATCAAATAATGCATGCAATGTAAGTGTGATAGTAGAAGATGTATGAGGATTACAATAACAATGTCTCTCCGCTTATTATGTGTATATGTCATAAATATACTGTGCAAATTTAGCATTTTTACATAAATATAAATTTTTTTTGGAAATAATGCAAAATGCTGTGTCATGGCTATAATAAAATAGTTAATTAGTTGTATGAATGTGCACAAATATGACCCTTTTTTATATCCTAAATGTGAATAATTACATATTTTGATGACCTTTTTCAGTCTGACAAAACTACAAGTCTGAACCTGGGACAAAGGTTAAACAAAGTTGATACATAAAAGACAAGAAGAGTAGTAAAACATTTAATGATCAAGTCATGGTAAACAGTTTTATGATATTCATTTAATAAAAAGTTAAATACAACTGTTTTTTTTTTTTAACTAAATAAAACTGTTGCCTTTAATAAAAATCAAAAGCCAAAAATCAAAATCAAGTTAAAGAAACACCCTCACACACACACACACATAGTAGTAAATTTTAAAGCTGACGCTCCCTCCACCCAGACCTAATGTGATTAACCCTGAGTTACACATATACACACGCACACACATAGTAGAAACACTCCTTTATGCTGCACACACACACTCTCTCTCACTCTACACACTTCCCCTTCTCTCTAATGTGATTAACCCCCACAATCCTGCCTCCTTATGTCCACAGATCAGACTGCGTGTGTTATTTTAAGGGAAGTGTGTGTGTGTGTGAGAGAGAGAGCTAAATACTAGAATCTAATGAATGTAGTAAAAGAGGTAAAGCCAAGTCAAACACACACACACACACACATACACACACAGTCATGTTTTCAGGATGTGCGCATTCACCCCCTCTCTGAATTTCAGGATCTTCATATCCTTCCTTATTTGTTATTTTGTGTGTTTTTTTTGTTGTTGTTGAACAGTCCCTCTATTGCTGGCGTAAGTGGATAATGAATAATGAATGAACATTTAAAGTGCATTTACCAAAGATAAAATGATCTTTTTTTTCAAGTCGTACAGAAATATACATTAAGTCAAATTTCTATAATAATAATAATAATGTATAAGGAAATCTTATGCAATGACATTCATATAAGTGTTCATAACAATAATCTGTGTGTGTGTGTATTAAGAAACACAAACAATAGGACAGTTTTCACCTAAAGGATCATCTGTGCTGTCATCCTCCTAACCTATTTTCACTCAGTGTTTTACAACAATAACTTAACTGTGACTTGCTGTTAACGCTGAATAGTCCAAGCAGGCCTTTTCTTGGTGGGTTAATCACATATTTAAAAGCTCTAATCTTCACGGCTCAGGGCTGAGCGGGCAGTGGAGATCTGTCAGGACCTGATCCACTGCCCTATGATCCCCCCAAAATGTCATCTTGATAGTCCTGAGAAACGGCCTCTCCTGGCTGTCTACATGCATATAACTGAGAAATTACACAGAGCCCTCGCGTCTCTGTACTGCAATGAGAAAAAATGATTATCATTATTTACAGTAAATGTTACTGTAATTAAAAGATTTGTGTTGTATATTGCAGTAATAAGTATGAGATTATTTCACATTTGTAGAATGTTCTTGACTGGTTTTGTGAGATTTACCCATATAGGGCCAGAAAAATGAGCACTGAAAAGGCATGGACATTGGACACAGCAACTTTTGCATAAGCATTTGTCAGAGTTTCCCTTTCAGATACAGAATTTATGGGAGGAGAGTATTAAAATTACTTGCGCAACGTGATTTATTAAGGTTTGTGGACTTTGCATTAGTCAGTTTACTGGTATTTTGCACCGCTATTTTGTACATTTCCTTAATATAGGAGATGATTCTTAATGTGTGTCAAGTAATAACACACAATCAGACATCTTGAGTTTAGAGACAGAATTCATTGTTTCCTGTTTAGTTAATCTATGATGATGTTGTACCTTTCGTCATTTCTAGAAAAGTCATTGATCACCCAGTTGGCTGACTGTACATTATCACTTGATTGATATTAGCATCCGGAAGTGCCACTATTCATTTGATAACAGGTTCAACCTGTTTATGACTATTCCTCTAGGAGCTGATTTTGTCTTCTGGTCTACTTGTATAGACTAGTAAACAACAAGTGCATCAGCTTGTAAATGTCATTGATGGAACAATACATCATCAGACTTCCTTTAGCTAAAACCATTCCCAACGTTATGGAGACTGCAGTCTTTTGTGCAGCCACACTTTGTGGTGTCACGCTTTTGTCACTTGCTCTATTGAAACCAGACGTGGTTGCTTTGGAAAAAACAAAGGTTATAAATAAATAAACACATGAATGTAGTATTAAGCTGATCTTAGATCAGGCCTGAAATGCAACAGATGGGCAACAGTGAGGCCTTAACAGATGACCGAGTCCCATTCATCAAGTGCTCTCTGTAACCCAGAGTGCCATACCTCCGACACCCACATACTCCGAGACACCGTCACCGACAGCAGCTCTCGGTGACGAGGAAGAGGAGGGTGTCTCTGTCAGACACCGGGTGTAGGTGGACTTCTGAGACTGCTGACTGTATTACTATAGGTGCAGTGAGAGACGTATTTCCCTTCATATCTGATGGACGTCAGATTAGACTAGGGATGGGACGGTATGAAAATTTCATATCACGATTATAGTGTCCAAAATAATCGTGATTATCAATATTATCACGGTTTTGTTAAAAATTTATGAAAGTGCTCAAAAAGAACTAATGCTCACACTGAAAACATTTCAACAAGTTTTATAATTGAAAATCAACAAACAACAAATAAAACAAGCCTCTCTATGCAGTTTTTAGGCAAGATTCTATTCTATGGCATTTGCTTCTTTATAATGCCCGTCGTCAATAGCAACGCATTATTACACAGCGCACATCTATATCACAACAGACGCACGCTCTTGTTTCATTCAAATACAACTTGCCGTCTTGCATCTCCGGTTTTTGATTGTATTGCAAAAATGAAATCAGAGTTGATTTATTGCGTACAGAGTTTGATAATATTGGTGTGATATATCTTGTCTGGACGATTGTTTTACAAAATGTCCCCGTAATTATGTGGTAAAAATGAAATCGGTTTAATACGTGATGTATCTATACTTTACTATCCCTTAAAACATCACTCTGAATAATAGTCTTGTTTGAAGTTGTTCGTTCGTCTTTGGCTCAAATCCACTTGCTACGAACTTTTCTTCACGGAAGCTTGACGTCTATTTCAAGTGAGTGACATAAAATGTTTCAACTCAAAACAACATTTCGTGCCCAATTGTTTCCCAGACGTAGTTTTGGTATTAAGGTCAAAGTTAACTTGCCTTGCGTTCGGGTGATGATCACACAAGACGACTCGGCAGATTTGAAGTGTTTCTATTGCAGTGACTTTTTGTTCGGCAGACAGGGTGACCATTCTCGATCAAGTTTCCCTCAGGACTTTTTTAAAACCCAAAATATGACTACACCTCAGATTTGGTCCTCTTAAAAGGCTGAAAAATCTCCTGAGCACGGTCACTGCCTTCCACCATTCCTTCTCGAATAGTAATTAAAAAAAATATTGCGTGCTGCGCGCCTGCGTCAGACTGGCCGACAGGATTCAGTGAGTTATTAAAATCGCGATAATCAAACACGGTTTTAATGATAATTAAATTTGAAACGATAATACTAACCGTCAGTGCATTTTATCACAGTTTATCGTGAAACCGGTTATCGTCCCATCCCTAGATTAGACGGTGTGTGTTTGTGTTTCCAGGAGTCCAGGAGTGGACAGTTTGACTCACCAAACATTGTCATGCTGAGAGTCCCTCATCCTGCTGAGTCATTCACACACCACACATATATTCACACACTCTTATATCAGGGGAAGAGGATTCATAGAAATTTGTCCTGAAGAGAGATACAGGCACACACGTCCATCCCGAATTTACACAGACTGGCAAATTTTCTAGAGAGTTCTGAGTCTTGACCTCTTGTTCAAGTGGGAACTCTTTAGATGCAGGAAAAAAAGGTTATTCACAAATCTTATCTTCCCCACTTATTTACCAGTACATATACCGAGTCTTCATTAAGCAAAAGCGTTAGACCAAGGATAGCAAACCCTGCTCCTGGAGCGCCACCATCCTGTGGAGTTTAGCTCAACCCCAATCCAACACACCTGAAGAAGCCAGTCAAGGTATTCAGGAACAGGTATAGCCCCTTTCACACAGAGATTCCGGAAAATACACGGATAATGTGACCCGGAATTTGTCCCGGGATTATTTTCATGTCGGTTCATTCACACTGCCAGTGATTTTCCGGGATCTGTGAGTACGTTCACACACAACCCGTAAAGATCCCGGGAAGACACGTGACGTCAGGATGAGATGTGTAAAGTACATGTCGAAATGCACATACTGTTCCACAAAGATGGTCCTTTATGGAGCTCCTGTTCTCTGCTTCGTTCCAGTTTGCAGACATTTGTTCGTCCTTTCTTTGTTGATGACGAGCACAAACTTTATTCTAAGAGCAACAGAGTCGTCACTATGACACACCCCTTACGGCATTGGTCCTGGCTTTTGTTCACACAAAAGGCGTTCCGGCAATTTCCTGGGATCATCGCGCTGTGTGAAAGGGGCTTCAGTGTTGGAGCAGGGCGTGTAGGTCTGAAGGGCCCTATCATTTCCGCGATCACGGAATGGCGGACGGAATTGTGGAATTGGCCAATTAACGCGGAATTTCGTGGAATTTTACATATTTGGTTTGAAATTCTGTTTTTGTGTGGGAGAAGAACGTATGTCTGGTGAAAATTCAGAATGGGGGAAGCAAATCTGGGCGACACAACCCCCCCCCAAACCATCATTTCAGCTCCAATGACGAAATCAAAACAATGAAAGCATGGCGAAGTGGCTCTCTTTTCATCGGCAAAAAGTTAAGAAACTCGACGCTATAAGCAGTCGACAGTTTAAAGCTCATAACCGTATTTTGTTGTTACTTGAAGAGTGCAGTGTTATGTTGCATCATGCAGTATTTGTCCTGAAAAGGCTACTGAGTAAATGTCGGTATTACCTCAATAAATTTAAGGTCATTCCTAATTTATTTGTATTTTTTTTATACATTAATTATTAACTTGAAAAGCACACTCTTTTTATGACTAAAATAACAGTCAAGGGTAAAAAAAAACTAATTCCCAAAAATTTAAATGGAAAAAATTGAATTTGGGAAAAAATATAACGGATTTCATAGGGCTCTAAGAGTGGGAACTGAAGTCTGGAGGAAGGTGCCTCTCCAGGAGCAGGGTTGAAAAGCTTTTAAAAGTTGAACTCGACATCTTTAGAACATAATGCATGTAGCGAGATGCTGAAGAAGCTTGAGAGCCAATCCATTGGCCATAGATGGGCGAATTTCCATCGCTGTAACAGAATGATAACTACCATACAGCTAAAGCATGTGATATTTGTGACCTGTAATTTCTGTGGTATTAAAGTTACAGGATCAGCAGTTTTACAAAGGGCGTTGCAGGTTCACGTCCTGACTCAGTCCTAGTTGAGTCCCAGAAACTCTGGTTTCCCACAAAATCCCAATTGATGGAGGTCAGGTGAATTTTAGACACTAAATCGTGTGTGTGTCTACGTTATTTTCCGTGATCCACTCCATCTGTTGCTCAATCAAGTGCTTCGGAGTATACTTTATTGACCGTGAGTGCAAATGTATCACGTGAGCTACCTAGTGGACTTTTTGCCTTCAGACATGCAATGGACTGGCCAATCAAATGGGTGTTTTTTTCAGACGCAGGTAAAGGTTCTTGCATCCCTCCAACCTAGGAAAGTTGGTGTGGAGATGGATGGATAATTGTACAAAGGCAGTAATTATTCAATATAAGCAGATCTTATTGTCACTGTAGGAAGCCTCGAGCTGATTGGTCCATGGTTAGTGAGTGTTCTGAGATGGCATGATCCTTAATGTGTAGCCGGACTCGCTTTGGGACATCGGTGGCTTACAGTGCGTTAAATATGTTTAATTAGTTGTGTGTTTAGAATATATGAATCTGTGTGACACAAGTATAAATACTAATCTCCTTTGAAGCCTGTTCTGGTCAAGAATCACCCGCTTCCACAGGAAGGGCCCGTCTGGATGATGTGTTCAACGACCAACCACAATTAGATTTTTTTGTGTGTGTGTTTTTTTAAAGCGCGGTAAATCTTAAACGGACGAAACCACAATAATAGATCGGTGTGGTGTCTTGTTCAAATCATGGCACAGCTGTCTCCACAAATAGTTAAACATACAGCAGCAAAGGGATGATTGGACATGTGTGTTGACTTTGCGGTCAGAATATCCTTCCATCTGCTAGTAATAAGTACCGATTGTTTAGTGGATATATATCTCTGAATCAAAGCGGCCGAGTTATTGGGGATGTGGCGTTTTCTTGAGTCTCACGAAGGCAAAAACTGCGCAAACTCGAATCCTTGAAACGTATTTCTCACAAACTTGACCGTAACCACAGCCAATCAGATTGGAGCTTGTCGTTTTGGGAAAGCTGTTGTTTGCAGTCAGTGGGAGTGCCGTCTGAAGCCGAGACATAAATACGCTGCCGTACCTGCGCTTTAGCTTGCGTGTGGCGGCATCATTCATTGGCCGTTTTGATTGATCTCTGACAGGTCCAAGGCGGATTTTCCTCTGAACTAGTTTTCCTTCCAGCCCCACGTGCTGCACGGCAAACAGATCCCCTCTCCGCTCTTCATGTGGTGAGACCACCATAAACAGGACAGACCAGTATCCGCTTCCATTCAGCACTGGGCAGGAACTGGCCTCTCATAGATCACAGAGCGCCACTGACGGCCAGTCTTTGATTAGAGTCTGAAGTCATTTCGAGCAATCCCAGAGGCAGTTTACACAATCTATTCAAAAGAGATGTGCTTCATCACAGTGTTTGGTGCCGCATTTATTCATCTGTCCTACAAAAGCCCTCAAAAGTGTCTTTGCAATCCGTGGGTGTCTGAACTCAATGGCTCCTGTGTGAACAGTGGAGTTGAGTTACACTCATCAATCGAAACTCTGCCGCGTATCACTAGCTAACGAGACGAGCGTTTCCCTGCATTTCAGTGACAATCACGTATCAGATTTGGGGTCAATAATTGGAACAAACTCTTAAAGGGGGAAAAAAAATGTTTTCTTTTGTAATTTTGTGCAGAAAAAGAAAAAAAAAACAATGAAAGTCAATGGGGTCCAATATTACGCTATTTTGGACCCCATTGACTTTCATTGTAATTTTTTTTTTTTTTTATTTCCCCTCAAAATGCAAGACATCAGTCAAGCATTCAGATCCCCGGCAACCACAGGTCTGAAGATCACAACACCCTAGCATCATGATGGCGAGTTTTGTGCTGGCAAACACCACCATATGTTTTCTCACTGGGTTTTTAGGCTATTGTAGACGTGGATTGTTTTTTGTTTTTTTTAAACGCTCATACAGTAAGCAGCTTGAATAAATGCGCTGTGTGTAGGTTTGAGAGCCGAGCAGCTGTATTTCCCAGCGCTTTCAATGGCGGCCCACTCCTCCTGGAGTCTTGTAATGTGATTAAAGGCTATTAATCATCAAAGCGTCTCTCGCGGGACCCCTGACTCACGGGCCGGGGGAAGAGCAGGGGCGGGACGTGTCAAGAAAGCTTTCAGCCGACACTCGCTCGCTCACACACCGATCACAGAAGATCAGGGTCACCTGCTACCCACAGACCCATGAGCGTAATCTCTGGATGATTTTTGGTTGTCTAGTACGAGCGGGAGTGAAGAATATCCCTCGTTTGAAAAAGCCAAGTTCTTTATTTAGAGGCGCACAAAGTTACAAACACACATGAAGCCTAGAAATGGCCTCACATATGCAGGGATTGTGTCTCTAGAATCACTATGTCGTAATTATCCGTGGAAAACGTGGGGGTTTTATTGAGTCTGATTTTCTGTGTCAATCCCGAGGGGCGTGGCTTGGACTTTTAGGGGCGTGGCATCATGAATCCGGTCAGATTCTAGGTGGTATTGATCACACATTTTGTGTACTGTTGTTGAAGGATCATTGGATAATATTATTAAATTGGCTAATTTTTGAGATGACGGGCTTGTACGACAAAACTACTTTTCCCATCATTCCCCGTGACTGCATGAGAATAATAAAATACATAAAAATGACCAATTAAAAAGCTTACGCACATCATCAATTGTGTTGTTCCAAACCAACATGTTACACTGTAAAAAATATTTTCATGATTCGTAATCACATTATTTCTTTTGTAAAATCAATCACCTTCGTTGTATTAACTCAATTTTTCCATTTCAATGAACTTACATTTTTAAGGCAGCCAGGTTACTTAATTTTTGTAAGTTAAACCAACAATATTTTTTACAGTGATAAGAGTGGTAAAAATAAAAATGTAATTCTGGGAATGTGTGCGTTACATGACCTCTCTTTCTCCGTTTTCTCCCAGGTGGCCTATTTTACGGAGATGCACAAGATCTTCACTGAACTGACGGATCAGATCGACCAGGGCGGGTTGACGGATGACCAGAGAAAACTAGAGAACGAGGCCAAACTCAATGAGCTGCGAGCGCTGTCCATCGTGGCCGACGACTGAAAACTGGGATTTTAACCAAGTCACGTCAACTTTTATTTATTTCTTTTTCTGTTTGTTACTTTTTATTGATAATGAAGTCTTATTCTGAATATTTTGTTGACAGATGAAGCCATCAGCAAACTTTTTTGTCTTGTCTCAGTTCATTTTTGCCTTTAGTCTCTACAACTGACCAATGATTGATCATATATCTTTCAGATTTTCCATCCGCCAGAGGCCAAATTAATATTTAAATTCCTATGGCTAAAGCTTAGTTTTCTATACGAATTGTTTATAGAGTTCACACTACTTATGAGTTTTTTTTTTTTATAATATAGTGCAACACTGGAATCGTGCAGAGAATCAACATTTATATTAAACTGTTGATTGATCATTGATACGCCGGTGGTTATCTTGGAAAAATGTTACAGTGCGATTGTCATTTAACAGAAACGCTTTTCACATGATCCTCTGCCTCCCTCTACTGACACATCTGAGTGTCTGACCTGTGTTTTTGTGTCAATTGTATTTGCTAATGAAGGAAAGTTTTGTTAATGTTATTTTTTTGCTCTATTTCCCAATAGTCTTACAGCCATAGTTCATAATGTACTACTGTTTGGAAAAGTTGCCAATTATTTAACCGCATACTGACAATCAATATATAATGAAGTATTTTTTTAAGAACATGATTGGTTCATTTTGAACACTATTGAAAATTCTCTTTTTATTTGATTTTAATTGGATTATTATCGTCATGGGTTCCAATCTGAGGGTTAAAATATAGTGTAAAATGTTCATTTTGGATAAAACATCTTACAACTAAATTAAACCTTACATGTGTTATTACAGTCCTGCTTTCCTTTTGACATAACCAAACACATTTTCTCTAAAACTCTGTACCATAGCCTTATTTTTAAAATGTGCATATTTCTTCTTTTCATTTCTCAAATCGAAGTGTTCTTTAAACATAATGTCGTTTAGTTGTCTTACAGTAAACTGCTTTTGGATGTCCACTGTTTGTCTGATGTGTTTATATAGCTTTACCAGGTCAAGGTGAAGACTTTAAACCTCATTTTATTTTGAATGGACACCTTTATCTTACCATTCAAGTCTGTTTCATGGCAGTGCACATCTGGGATCTGGCTTTAGACACAGTGATGGGTAAGATTGGTATTGAACCAGTTTGTAAACAACAGATTAACATTCGAATGAAAGTATTTGAGTGACGTCACTATGGGGGTCGAACATCATTCTGAATCACCCGGTTTCTATAGACACTATGTCAGTAAGAGCAGTGATCGTTATTCCACAGGAATTTGTAATAATTCATTGTCTTTATTCTTCTGTCAATAAAAGAATGTAAAATACAGTACAGCTCTATCAGCTGCAATTAGTCAAACATTTACAGTTGAAAACACTCATTTACAAACATTTCATCTGCCGACAACAAATGAAGCGAAGCATCAAAATTCATACAGATTGTTCTTTAGAGGTGCTCATAATTGAAAGCTAGTTCATCTGTTCCCAAATCATGTAAAATCCCAGCATTCCTGATCTATGTGTTAAGATGAAGAGTGTGTCTCTGACCTAAAACTCAATCTAGATACTAAATGAAAATACTTCAGTCTTGATCATAAATTATTGAGAACGGTTTCCTAGTGTCGTCACCCTTATTTAGCAGGTTAGTTGAACTGTTTTAGAAGAAATGGCTTGATAACTGATGCTGAGTGAGTGTGTTAGCTATATGGAGGATTTACTGTACATCTGTGCCATCTGCTCACTGAAGAGTCGTCGTAGATCCACACGCTTGCTCTTCAGGGTTGGCGTCAGGAGGCCGTTGGACACGCTAAACATTTCAGGGTGCAAATATAAGTCCTTCACCTGAGAAAGAGAAAGAGGGAAAACGGCTCAAACAGAATCTCTCCTCTGATATTCATCAACGCCTGAGTGTTTCATTGATTTAGCTGGACGTGAAGGTCCTCTACTGTCCCTAAGACTATCCCTTTAAAGTTTTAACCCGTATTCAGTTTAATTACTTAATTACTGGATAAGGAGTTCAACCAAAAAGTAAAATTTAACTTAATTTAACTTTAATTAATTAGCTTTAACTTTATTTAACTTAATTAAAATTTAGCTTAATACCAGGGCCGTATTAAGAGCTCACTGGGCCCCGGGGCTATGAGTTACCCACCACTTTAGGTCACCAATTACAGGAGTTAAATGTTATATTATTATTATACGAGTCATTTTATCCATCTATGATATACTTCACAGTTAAGAAATGTTACTTTTAACACGATTATTTTTTTCATATCAAAATGTATTGCGACTAAAATTTCATTTTTGTGACCAATTTAATATGGCCCTCTATCAGAATTTGGGAAGATTGGAGAAACTTAATTTTTCGCCAAAAAAAAAACGTAAGGGGTACCACTGTCGTTTTTTTTTCGGGCCGAATTTTTGAGTTTCGATATCTCAGCTCTGGAAGGGCTAGAGCCTCCATTTTTGCACTCAGGTCTAAGTCTCATGGCCCTCTATCAGAATTTGGGAAGATTGGAGAAACTTAATTTTTCGCCAAAAAAAAAAAACGTAAGGGGTACCACTGTCGTTTTTTTTTTCGGCCGAATTTTTGAGTTTCGATATCTCAGCTCTGGAAGGGGCTAGAACCTCCATTTTTGCACTCAGGTCTAAGTCTCATGGCCTCTATCAGAATTTGGGAAGATTGGAGAAACTTAATTTTTCGCCCAAAAAAAAAAACGTAAGGGGTACCACTGTCGTTTTTTTTTTCGGGCCGAATTTTTGAGTTTCGATATCTCAGCTCTGGAAGGGGCTAGAGCCTCCATTTTTGCACTCAGGTCTAAGTCTCATGGCCCTCTATCAGAATTTGGGAAGATTGGAGAAACTTAATTTTTCGCCCAAAAAAAAAACGTAAGGGGTACCACTGTCGTTTTTTTTTCGGGCCGAATTTTTGAGTTTCGATATCTCAGCTCTGGAAGGGGCTAGAACCTCCATTTTTGCACTCAGGTCTAAGTCTCATGGCCCTCTATCAGAATTTGGGAAGATTGGAGAAACTTAATTTTTCGCCCAAAAAAAAAACGTAAGGGGTACCCACTGTCGTTTTTTTTTTCGGGCCGAATTTTTGAGTTTCGATATCTCAGCTCTGGAAGGGGCTAGAACCTCCATTTTTGCACTCAGGTCTAAGTCTCATGGCCCTCTATCAGAATTTGGGAAGATTGGAGAAACTTAATTTTTCGCCCGAAAAAAAAAACGTAAGGGGTACCACTGTGGTCGTTTTTTTTCGGGCCGAATTTTTGAGTTTCGATATCTCAGCTCTGGAAGGGGCTAGAACCTCCATTTTTGCACTCAGGTCTAAGTCTCATGGCCCTCTATCAGAATTTGGGAAGATTGGAGAAACTTAATTTTTTCGCCCAAAAAAAAAACGTAAGGGGTACCACTGTCGTTTTTTTTTTGGGCCGAATTTTTGAGTTTCGATATCTCAGCTCTGGAAGGGGCTAGAACCTCCATTTTTTGCACTCAGGTCTAAGTCTCATGGCCCTCTATCAGAATTTGGGAAGATTGGAGAAACTTAATTTTCGCCCAAAAAAAAAACGTAAGGGGTACCACTGTCGTTTTTTTTCGGGCCGAATTTTTGAGTTTCGATATCTCAGCTCTGGAAGGGGCTAGAACCTCCATTTTTGCACTCAGGTCTAAGTCTCATGGCCCTCTATCAGAATTTGGGAAGATTGGAGAAACTTAATTTTTCGCCCAAAAAAAAAACGTAGGGGTACCACTGTCGTTTTTTTTTTCGGGCCGAATTTTTGAGTTTCGATATCTCAGCTCTGGAAGGGGCTAGAACCTCCATTTTTGCACTCAGGTCTAAGTCTCATGGCCCTCTATCAGAATTTGGGAAGATTGGAGAAACTTAATTTTTCGCTCCAAAAAAAAAACGTAAGGGGTACCACTGTCGTTTTTTTTTCGGGCCGAATTTTTGAGTTTCGATATCTCAGCTCTGGAAGGGGCTAGAACCTCCATTTTTGCACTCAGGTCTAAGTCTCATGGCCCTCTATCAGAATTTGGGAAGATTGGAGAAACTTAATTTTTCGCCCAAAAAAAAAACGTAAGGGGTACCACTGTCGTTTTTTTTTTTCGGGCCGAATTTTTTGAGTTTCGATATCTCAGCTCTGGAAGGGGCTAGAACCTCCATTTTTGCACTCAGGTCTAAGTCTCATGGCCCTCTATCAGAATTTGGGAAGATTGGAGAAACTTAATTTTTCGCCCAAAAAAAAAAACGTAAGGGGTACCACTGTCGTTTTTTTTTTCGGGCCGAATTTTTGAGTTTCGATATCTCAGCTCTGGAAGGGGCTAGAGCCTCCATTTTTGCACTCAGGTCTAAGTCTCATGGCCCTCTATCAGAATTTGGGAAGATTGGAGAAACTTAATTTTTCGCCCAAAAAAAAAAACGTAAGGGGTACCACTGTCGTTTTTTTTTTCGGGCCGAATTTTTTGAGTTTCGATATCTCAGCTCTGGAAGGGGCTAGAGCCTCCATTTTTGCACTCAGGTCTAAGTCTCATGGCCCTCTATCAGAATTTGGGAAGATTGGAGAAACTTAATTTTTCGCCCAAAAAAAAAAAACGTAAGGGGTACCACTGTCGTTTTTTTTTCGGGCCGAATTTTTGAGTTTCGATATCTCAGCTCTGGAAGGGGCTAGAGCCTCCATTTTTGCACTCAGGTCTAAGTCTCATGGCCCTCTATCAGAATTTGGGAAGATTGGAGAAACTTAATTTTTCGCCCAAAAAAAAAACGTAAGGGGTACCACTGTCGTTTTTTTTTCGGGCCGAATTTTTGAGTTTCGATATCTCAGCTCTGGAAGGGGCTAGAGCCTCCATTTTTGCACTCAGGTCTAAGTCTCATGGCCCTCTATCAGAATTTGGGAAGATTGGAGAAACTTAATTTTTCGCCCAAAAAAAAAAAACGTAAGGGGTACCACTGTCGTTTTTTTTTCGGGCCGAATTTTTGAGTTTCGATATCTCAGCTCTGGAAGGGGCTAGAGCCTCCATTTTTGCACTCAGGTCTAAGTCTCATGGCCCTCTATCAGAATTTGGGAAGATTGGAGAAACTTAATTTTTCGCCCAAAAAAAAAAACGTAAGGGGTACCACTGTCGTTTTTTTTTTCGGGCCGAATTTTTGAGTTTCGATATCTCAGCTCTGGAAGGGGCTAGAGCCTCCATTTTTGCACTCAGGTCTAAGTCTCATGGCCCTCTATCAGAATTTGGGAAGATTGGAGAAACTTAATTTTTCGCCCAAAAAAAAAACGTAAGGGGTACCACTGTCGTTTTTTTTTCGGGCCGAATTTTTGAGTTTCGATATCTCAGCTCTGGAAGGGGCTAGAGCCTCCATTTTTGCACTCAGGTCTAAGTCTCATGGCCCTCTATCAGAATTTGGGAAGATTGGAGAAACTTAATTTTTCGCCCAAAAAAAAAACGTAAGGGGTACCACTGTCGTTTTTTTTTCGGGCCGAATTTTTGAGTTTCGATATCTCAGCTCTGGAAGGGGCTAGAGCCTCCATTTTTGCACTCAGGTCTAAGTCTCATGGCCCTCTATCAGAATTTGGGAAGATTGGAGAAACTTAATTTTTCGCCCAAAAAAAAAAACGTAAGGGGTACCACTGTCGTTTTTTTTTCGGGCCGAATTTTTGAGTTTCGATATCTCAGCTCTGGAAGGGGCTAGAGCCTCCATTTTTGCACTCAGGTCTAAGTCTCATGGCCCTCTATCAGAATTTGGGAAGATTGGAGAAACTTAATTTTTCGCCCAAAAAAAAAAAACGTAAGGGGTACCACTGTCGTTTTTTTTTTCGGGCCGAATTTTTGAGTTTCGATATCTCAGCTCTGGAAGGGGCTAGAGCCTCCATTTTTGCACTCAGGTCTAAGTCTCATGGCCCTCTATCAGAATTTGGGAAGATTGGAGAAACTTAATTTTTCGCCCAAAAAAAAAACGTAAGGGGTACCACTGTCGTTTTTTTTTTCGGGCCGAATTTTTGAGTTTCGATATCTCAGCTCTGGAAGGGGCTAGAGCCTCCATTTTTGCACTCAGGTCTAAGTCTCATGGCCCTCTATCAGAATTTGGGAAGATTGGAGAAACTTAATTTTTCGCCCAAAAAAAAAACGTAAGGGGTACCACTGTCGTTTTTTTTTCGGGCCGAATTTTTGAGTTTCGATATCTCAGCTCTGGAAGGGGCTAGAGCCTCCATTTTTGCACTCAGGTCTAAGTCTCATGGCCCTCTATCAGAATTTGGGAAGATTGGAGAAACTTAATTTTTCGCCCAAAAAAAAAAACGTAAGGGGTACCACTGTCGTTTTTTTTTCGGGCCGAATTTTTGAGTTTCGATATCTCAGCTCTGGAAGGGGCTAGAGCCTCCATTTTTGCACTCAGGTCTAAGTCTCATGGCCCTCTATCAGAATTTGGGAAGATTGGAGAAACTTAATTTTTCGCCCAAAAAAAAAACGTAAGGGGTACCACTGTCGTTTTTTTTTCGGGCCGAATTTTTGAGTTTCGATATCTCAGCTCTGGAAGGGGCTAGAGCCTCCATTTTTGCACTCAGGTCTAAGTCTCATGGCCCTCTATCAGAATTTGGGAAGATTGGAGAAACTTAATTTTTCGCCCAAAAAAAAAACGTAAGGGGTACCACTGTCGTTTTTTTTTCGGGCCGAATTTTTGAGTTTCGATATCTCAGCTCTGGAAGGGGCTAGAGCCTCCATTTTTGCACTCAGGTCTAAGTCTCATGGCCCTCTATCAGAATTTGGGAAGATTGGAGAAACTTAATTTTTCGCCCAAAAAAAAAAACGTAAGGGGTACCACTGTCGTTTTTTTTTCGGGCCGAATT